CCCTATCCCTAACCGGGAGTAACATAATCTTATGTGCACGTTGTCGAAACATAGGGGTATCAGAACAAACACGTAGGGGTGTCGGAACATAGAGCATTCACCGAAAATTTAGCTTGACAAAGTTCCAACGCCGAATAGGAAAAAACAAATCAGTTAGAACAACAATTAAAATGTAACCTAGGTAATATATCATCAGATAATAAATAGGAAATACAATGTTTTGGTTTAGAGATAAGCCCTCCCTCCCTCCGACAAGTTGAGCGACAAGTTGAACTCGATTCGGTCTAAATAACAAAAATATTCAGACATTGTTTTAGCAAGAATTAGTTACACTGAATCAAGTTCAACCCTGCATCTCTTTATAGGCCGCCGCTGTCTGTAGTCTGTAATCTACATTGTACATGTACATGTTTATACTGATATCAGCCCATATATATTAAATATGAAACCCAAAACAAACACACATAACAAACACATCCCTACATATCGCACTTTGAACCAGCCAGACGAAAGTAAAGAAACAAAACACTTCAAATTTTCCATGCACAAAATTGTGCACTCAGCCTAAACACATTTTAGGGTCATTGTGTTTAAATGGTGATATTCTCTGAAGGGATTGAGCAATTTCAGTAATTTTTTTCATCTACATGTGTAAAAGTAGCTTATGAAATTGGCTTTCCAGTCATTATTATTTTTGATGCTACATATTGTTTTTTACATATGAAACATATTTTTGGGGGTTTGGGTTCCGCTTTTTGGACTCATCCTGTACATACCGGTATGTACATGTACATGTAGGCATTAACTTTTAACTACGGGAAATATCGTTTTGCCTTTCATCATGTTTACAAATTTGGCCAAAAAAAAAAAAAAAACTCATGTTGAACTGACGGATTTCTTTAAAAGACAACGGAGTAAAGATGAGACCTTTTGAAGATACTTTTAAAAGAATATAAAACGAAATGTTACAAAAAGTGTTTTCACAAAATATATCATTTATGTGCGTGGATTACAGGGTGTCATTGAAGAGGCCACGACACGGTGCATTCAATGTACTTAGTAGCATGCAGGATTCACTGCATGATAGAACAAAGCAAATACAGATGCTTTTTTTTACATTTTTCTTTCGAAACTGGACTGATGTACACATTGGGGATAGAACAAAAGCTTAAATAACGTTTGTAAAAAATTAAGAAGTGTTTATAGGATTTCAATTTTTAAAAGGGATTCCTTTTGTCACGATTTTGCACACCCCTTTGTGAAGAGTGGAAGAGGCACAAAGACCATCCTATCCACTCGGCTCACAGACCCTTTCACGCCTCCCTCCCCACCACCTTGGACTAAACACCCTCATGTAAGGCAACTAAAAAGATTTGTTCATCAGTGCAGAGTTGGAGGAAACTTTCCAATGCAGGGTATTTAAATTTGCAACGTCCTTTTCTTGTAACCTGCGTTACTAATTAAAAAACTTGAGTTCCGGGTTGTAATAGAATCGATAAAAAAAGAAATGTAAAAAAAGAAAAAAGAAAATTTGTACTCCTGAGTACAGGGTCGAGTACCGAGTCTAAACCAACGAGTCTGTGCCAAAATTTTAGTATAAAGAATCGAGTACAGGCCGAGTCCAAATAATTTTCGAGTATTGATGGTTGAGTACTTGAGTGTACTCGAGTTGTACTCAAGTTGTACTCGAGTCGAGTTGTACTCGAGTACGAGTATGAGTACACGTACTCCAACACTGCTGCTTGGTACACGTATGTAGCCGCTTTAACAGATGCAACTCAAGGCAAGTTTCGGCCCGTGTTCATATTGCAGTGCTCAGTAAAATATTACAAGCTATAAGACAATATTGAAATGAACAAACTGTATTTTAGTTGTATTTTAGCACAGGTTTTGTTGGAACATTAATAAGTGCACAAACATTGTACACTTCACAAAAAGCAAAGTGTGATTCCTACGTTTGTAAGCTAGCCTTTAACCTAGCTTATTCAAAGAAACTGACAATTTTTTCTTATCTCTTCTATATTCCCGCAAAAATCACTTGACAAATGTTTCCACTTTGACGTAAAGAGCATGAACAGCGTTTAATGAGGTGGATCTGGTAAAGATGGCGCTGGACAAACACAGCATCATCATCCAGTCGCGTGACATGGTTTATATTTAGAACTTTGGATTTTTGTTTTGCTGCATACATGTATTTATAAGTTACATATTCACATGGAGTCTACATCTGTTCATCTGCATACATATTTACTTGACACTTGAGTTTGGCTGCATAAGTTACACATATACATGTACAGTCTGCATCTGTTCATCTTTGTGCATGTTTACTCTGTGCTAAAATACCTTAGATAGGTTCATGCATTCTATCTACATGTACATGCTGCACTTTGTTAAATTACAATCGCATACAACTCAGTACCATTTAATTCCACTTTTTTTTAACCCTCAAATAAATGCCCTTTTATATTGTAAAAAAAAACATTTTCCCCCAATGTCTTCAAAGTTCACACACTAACTGCAGTTTTCTTTCCCCTTTTTATATAAAAAAAATACTGATCAAGAATTTTCAATCTATTTGAAGTTATCAATTTTGACTTACAAAAAGTTTCAACTCAGTTTTAAACTTGTCAAGACTGAGCGACGGGTATTTGATTGTAATGGTGTACATGTACACTGGGGACAATGAGCGACAGAGTTGACTGTTACATGTGTAAGAGGACACTATGTCAGTTGGAAACTGATTTACCCAAACAAGAGAACTACTTTAGAAGAGAATATGAGAATTGACTGAGAGAATAATTTATGGCTGTGGTGTGCAGAACATAGACCTATCTGTTTGCTTCTAGAACAAATCAAATCTTTCATTTGTTAGCTGCCAGATCCACAGGCAGGAACTTGCGATGCCTTTTCAGTGCCATGGGAAAATGAACTAATTTATTGTTTTCCGCCCTTTTCTCTAATGGACAGAGTCTTACAGAAGATAGAAATGGACAGGAGTGCTCATCCTCTCCTTCTGGAAAACACAGCATTGGTTTCCACGGCTACTACGTCTATTGACAACAGAGCCAGTTGGACTGACCAAGACCAAGACACTTCTGCGTCTCTACCTCACGACCCACAGCGTCAACATCCACTAGCAACCAACCTAGTGCTGTGTGCGGCACACTTGTCAGGAATTCTCTCATTGAGAAAGGACTTTCAGAGGAAACAATCAAGATTATCATACAGTCCTGGAGAATCAGAACACGTAAACCGAACAGTTCAGCATTATGCAATAATTCCTGGATCCACCCCTGCTGCGTTACCAATAACAAGTGCGAGTGCAAACTCTGGCAACAAATGTGACCACACATTTGGTCAATTTTGACATTTCCTCCTTCTGGACACTGTCCAACCGCTACACAAAATACCACGTGACTATAACATTACTGCACATACTTTGCCTCCATTTACAAACTTTTTTTATACACATCTTTCCAAATTGTTACAAACAATTTTCGTTAAGTATTCTATTTGCCTTTTGTAATTTCAGTTTGGTAGTTATTTTTTTTTATGGGAAACTTAGGGGGCTTGTTTTGATCAATTTTCGGGGACAGATATAGGCCTAATGCAAAATTAACATGCATGCGCATCAATTGAAACAAAACTGGTGTTCCGAAAACTTTTGGCAAGAGTGCATTTTATGACCACGGCATGGCATTTGGTCAATTAGTCAATTTGTTTTGGTCAAATAATTTTGCTCAATTTTCGGGGACAGACCAACCGACCGAAAGACAGACAGACAGACTGACCAACCACCAAGTGACATGTAGAAGCTCCTGCCAGAGCTTAAAAACTTATTAGCAAAATAACAGAATGTTAATTTGTTGACCTCTTTTTGTAGTTAAGTCATTTCATAGTAAGGGATCTTCTGTGAGAGAATCCACCCTAAACAATGCAGGGTTTTCAAATTTGCCATGTTCTTTTCTTGTAATGTGGGATACCGATAAAAATGTAATTGTCAAGTAAAAGTACGACAGACTGACAAATACACCTAAGGAAAGTTAAAAAAAGAAGAAGTAATTTTCCTACCTACCAACCTGGATAATTGTTAGGATGTTTGCGTAAACACACACATATTTGGGGCCTAAGTGAACCTACCTTGATACGGGTCTTGACACACATCCATGGCTTGGCCGGTGTCAATTCTTGCTGTCCTCTTTGGAGGTTCATCATCATCATCATCATCATCATCATCATCATCATCATCATCTTCCTATACTGTGCAGAAACCTCCGCTGGAGTATACTCGCACATTGGTTGAAGTGCAAACAAGCAGGTGCAGACATAACTCGAGGCATAAAAAGACAAATATGTGCAAGTGGAAAAAAAACAGCTATTTTGGGACAGATCGGTTATCTGAGGGTGACACCGTTCACTCTGGTCTTGAAGACATCCAGGGTTGGTGACTCAACAACTTGCTGGGGCAGTGAGTTCCACAGGTGGATGGTGTCTGGGAAGAAGGAGCCCTTCAGTTAGGTTGTACGGGTGGGTGGGATGAGGTATTTCTGGCTGTTGCCTCTGGTAGATGAGTTGACCGGGATAAGGTGGTTGTCTGGGATGTCGATGAGTTTGTTGGTGATCCGGTACACCATTGTAACTTTGGAGATGGTTCTTCGGTGTTGTAGAGACTCCCAACCCAGTTTACTCAGCATGGTGTTGACACTGCTGTCTCTTGAGTAGTTATTCATGATGTACCGGGCAGCACTACGCTGGACAGATTCAATTTTGGTAATGTTCCTTTTGTGGAGGGGTCCCATACGCAACTGGCATACTCAGCAATAGGGCGCACAAGGGTAGTATAGCAGCGGGTCTTTACTTCACGAGGGCAGTTGCTCAAGTGATCCGGTACATCATTGTAAGGAAAGTTAAAAACAAAGTAATTTTCCTACCTACCAACCTGGATAATTGTTAGGATGTTAGCGTAAACACACACATATTTGGGGCCTAAGTGAACCTACCTTGATACGGGTCTTGACACACATCCATGGCTTGGCCGGTGTCAATTCTTGCTGTCCTCTTTGGAGGTTTGTGGCCATGAACTTCCTGTATGCATCTTCATCGGTCTCTGCAAGCTCATCCAGCATTGACCAAAAGCACTGTGCCTGCTTCATCAGGTCATGTTGGACGCCTGTCGCCATAGTTATCTGACATTGGTGAAACAATTAGCAAACAAAGAAATTGGTTGTACCCCCGGTCTTGCCATTTAGCGTTAATAAACACAATCAGCATCAACAAAGCTTGAAGAAGTACATGTGCACTCTCAAGCTTCCAAACCGGATTCTAAAAGGGCTCTCTCATTGACACACGTGACTCAGCTGACGTGTACATCCGGGTATACCTGCATTTCAGCATCGCCATTGTACATGTAGAAGGCAAAGTTAGGCAGTTGAGAATACAGTCAGTATGTCGAGTTCAATTTTGGTGAATAGAAGTAAACAACTGGGTGTGTACTTAGGTCTGCCTGTCACAGCAAAATACCCGGCAGAAATGTCACTTGCTGTAACTCGCTATAGAAATACTGTATTGCCATACAGTTTGCACTAGCCCTATTCTATGACCACGGCATGCAATAAGGGCCATATACCGGTACACATGTGAAAAAAAATTCATAACTTATTTGCAATGAGAGATACAAAGCAGATTCAAAAATCAGACTGTTGTTTATTTAATATGGATCAGCCTAATCGAAGTATACAAAGAAAGAAATGAAACACTGCGCCCCTCCCATAAAATACGATCTAGCCCCGCCCCTCCACATAAGGAATTGACAACAACTGGCCTGTCGGTTATGAACCCCTTTCCCCTAACAATAAATGCTTCTGGATCCATCAGCGATTGAGCTGTGTTATCTTATTTCTTAATTGCATGAAGTAAATTTGTGATTGGGTTGATATACAATGTATTTTCTAAGGAATTGCTTTGGATATCCTCATTATGAAGCCTGCATGCCTGATTACAAAACCCAGGTGGTGACCCAGCTGTAGAATTCAGAGGCGGGAGATTGGTCCATCACTGACGGAGGAATGGAGGCATAACACAACAATCATATAACCTCAAAGATTTCTCCTTGATTGACTCAAGTCATTGCAGGCAATGATTTATTACACCATAATATATAATAATTATGATTTTACAAAATACATAATAATCTTACAAAGTACACAATGTCAAATAATAATCCCCGACGTCTTAAACTTTTCCCCAAATTTCTGGGGAAAAAAAGAAGAAAAGAGATCAGAAATGTTTCTGCAACAATAACAAATAATACAAAAAACATACAAATTTTCAACAAAATCTCTACTCACAGTTAACCATATCAAAGACAAATCCACCTACTTCCGCCAAATAGTGGAAATGTCATTTAGTTTATATTTTCAGTTGTTTATCATTATTTTAAAGTGAAACAAAGAAATTGACTATAGCCGGAACAGGAATCCGGAGGTCACAGGGTCAAACCAGCTCCAGTCAATTTCTTTGTTCAACTTTCAAGTTATTAAAATGCAGTCAGTTCTCCTTTGTGCTTCATTTTTATGACAATACATTTTCGTAAAAAGATCCAGGTCAACTTTCAATGTCTTTTTGATAATAACGAAATAACGTTTGGGAAAAACAGAAGCACAGTAACTGAGGACATTTCAATAACCAGTGTTTTTGTGTAACGGGAGCACAGTCACTGGTTGCAGAAGCGTCAGGAACTATGACAATGTTATATACATGTATAAAGGATGAAGGTTTTATTTTGCTCAATTTCAGCAAACGTGACACAGAAACAAAACTATCCAGAAGTCAGCAGATTATCTTGACTTGGAGTTTATGTCCGAGTGATGATCTTATCTTACAGACTTGCACATTAATAATCACAAGATAAATCACAATTATGTAATTTGCAAACCATGGCTTAAAGGCATATATGAACATTTGTATTTTATTTTGTTTGTTTTCATTACTTGTAATATTATCACTGTTCCACAGAAGAATACTCAAAACCTAACATGTTGAAGCTTTGGATATTACTTTTCAGGAAAAGAGTGAAATATCCATGCACACACTTTTAATCAATAAACGCGATTTTGTCCATAGACCTCTTATTTCAAAAAATCAGTCAATTGACTTATCATTGGAAATCACCTACATTTCTTATTTCTTGTTAATGACAGCAAGCCAGACGGAATAATTTCACAGGGTGTTTAGTACCAGTACGATCTATAATCCAAGTGAGCGTTTTGATTACAATTCGGTTGGTTACTTTTGGGATAAATGCAAATGATCCCATCCCATCTCCATTTAAATGTGTAAATTTATGAGTAAAAAATCCCCATCATTTAAAATTGCAATCAGTTTGGCTTTGCAGTTACAGTGTGTATATCTCATTTTCATCGAAATCTTCTTTCATGAGTCATGCCAGCAACAACAGTTTAAAAACATTATTAACATTAAGTTTACATTTTGCATGTGAATAAATCAAAACACTGATTCAAAGTATACTTTTTCTCTCCTGCAGAACTACTTTTACCAAATTGAATGGTTGCATTTGGGCATGTTATAAACGATCATATTACCTGGGCAACTGCAAAATATCAAAACTGTTAGAAACAAAAGCATCAGTTTTGGTACGAGAACATTTATCAAACTTGGAACAAACAAATCTAGTGTCAATCAATACATTGAAGAGGCTTGCAATGATAAAAACAAGCAAATTGTCCACTTGTACCTATTTCAACATAATCAGAAACACAGAAACATTTTTGAGTATACAACAATCGCAACGATTGGTCCTGAATGACCAAACATGATTGTCCTCTGACAAAAATGTGTCATTTGGCAATGCAACATTCTATGTATATATATACTATACATCATTGTTTGACAGTATGAACACTGGTTTATAGTAACTCTTAATATGGACATGCCGGTAGGCCTGTAGTTGAATAGTAAACGAAATCCATGTTATACAGTCCTCACACAACTGGACCACTTTAAAAAATATATATATATTGCATAAACAGTCAAGGTTAAAGATCTATACAAAAGTAAGCAACCTGGAATCATAATTTTTCCCATTTTATGCATATTTTGCTTTAATTTACAGAAAGGATTTGATTAAGAATGAAGAGCAATCGCACAAACGAAAACATCTATTTGGAGGCACGTGAACTTGTCAGGATTTTTCTAATTTGTACAAAGCTGAGGCAAATACTATTCTGGCAAAACTGCGAATCTTATTCAGGGTTTAAATTCCCATGTAGTGATTCACAATTCAAAAGTGTCCGAGGTATTATTCTGTATACTAAGTTTTGCACATCACTGGTCTATGGAAGGGTGTCGTGCAGCCATTTGCGTGTGGTCACATTAGTTTGTTTCAATTGTTTGAATGCCATATTTCTTATCAGATAACAGGGTGGGATCTCATGTAAGATGATGCGATTCAAGATATTTTCTCAAAAGAAATAAAAAGGAGAGGTGGCTTCCCCTGTTTAATTGACGATTAGATTCTAGTGTTATAATCTTGTATATTTGTGCGCTGAAAGAACTAATGGTAAGAAATTGTACTCTGAGGTCACCTAAGATATTGATGATGTGTGGATGAGACGACATGGAAGGGGAGTGAGAATGAATTAGAAACAACTGCTTTGAATCAATCAATGGAAATATGAAGCGATAGTTTTAATGAACTCAACACTGGAATCAAAATGTAACTAATATATACAAGGTCGATATAACACTTTCAACTGACACCCAGAATGTACGACTATGCTTTAATAGTACAGTGCTATTATGTTTGAAGACTTCAATGAATCATTTTGTACTGGACTATTTGATTGACTTTTCACATTGATTGATTGATTGATTGATAAATTGATTTTTTTTTTGGGGGGGGCATAGAATGAAGAGCTATAGTGGTGCGGCATAGGGACAGAATTGTGCATTTTGTGATAAAAGCCTTCAACTTCGCATGTTGGTTCTTCATGCCATGACAAAGTTTTTCAGATATGGAGGCATTTCATATCTGACCCCTGGTGACCTTTGAGGGGTCAATGACCTTTGAATACTCTATATATACCTATTGTTCTTGACTATATCACTTTCCTATGACCTTAGTCTTTGTATAGTCTTCATACAATGTAAATAGTGACCAAATGCGGAAAAAACACACAATTGACCTTTGATGACCTTCCAGAGGTCAATGACCTTTGTATTAACTGCACTAACTCAATTTATAGTTATTTATAAGATATACCCTTTTAACCCCAATTTTTTTTCAAGCCCCAAGTCATAATGTTAAGTGGCTCATGCTATATAAAGAATTTCACAGGTAGGGAATCTCATATCTGACCTCTGATGGCCTTCAAGGGATCAATGAACTTTGCGCATCCTATTTATGGATATTAAGAGGATTTACTATTCAAAACACAACTTTTACATTACCCATATCTAAATTTTGGGTATTCTTGCCATAATATGAATTTTCAGATATGTAGACATTTTATATTTGACCTCTGATGACCTTTGCAAGGTCAATGAACTTTGTGTACTCTGATGGTACCGAGATTCAAGCTTTAGACTTAGGTCATGAAAAAAAGTGGCACTTACAATTATGAAATGACCTATATATGAAAAATTCCCTTTACACCATGAATACCTTTCATTTAGACATGAATCGTGAAAAAAAGATGCAATTTAAAGAATTAATTTTGCAAAAAGCTATAAACAGGTTTACAAAGGTTATTGATCTCTCAAAGGTCACCAGAGGTCAGATATGAATTTTTGTCACTTCTGATAGTTATTTTCATTGTATGAAGACCTATGACGTAGACTTGGGTCATTGGAAAGTGAACTCAGGAAAGTGAAAAGAACAAAAGTTATATATAGTGAATGCAAAGTGCATTGACCTCTAAAGGTCACCAGAGGTCAAATATGAAACGCCATGGCATGAAGAACCAACATGCGAAGTTTCATGCTTTTATCACAATTTGCACAATACTTAAGCATATTGTGGCTATGCCGCACCACTACTATGCTTGGTTT